GTATATTGCAGCCGGGGAGGGCGTGAAGGAAGCGTTGTTCGTGCGTGGTGTTCTGTCGTTCATTGCGCCCGAGACGAGCGGTGCCACGATCAGGGTCCGTGAGGACAACGAGGGGGCTCTCGCGTTGGTGCAGAACCCTTTCAGCTCGGCGAGGAGCAAGCATATTGACGTGCGGTTCCACTTCATCCGCGAGCTTTTCAAGGCGGGCAAGATCACCGCAGATTATGTCTCGACAGAAGAGCAGCACGCCGATATGCTGACCGAGGTCCTTGGTAGGGGCAAGTTGGAGTACCACCGGAAGGCTCTGATGAACCTGCCGGGGTAGGGTTCTGGTCTCGTTTTCGTGGCGTTTGATTTGTTTTGTTCTAGCACTTGGCGCGTCTCGGACCATGGTATGTCACGCAGAAAGCGTTGGGCAGGGGCGTCACCCGCGGCGGGAGCTTAGGGTTTTTGACCAATTGCTTCGGGTGTGTAATCAGCGTGGCCTGTCCAATCTGTCCTGCCTTGGTCCTGCCCTGATAGTGCGGCCGTTAGAATCCTTCGTGATAGCGACGGTTTCTTTTTTGTTTTGAGTTTGTAGGCGAGCGTTTTTGATCCGGATGGCCGAGTTGTTCCCTTGCACCCGTTGTTGTCTGAGTAACTTCAGTAGATCTGGAGTATCCATGCCCCACTGATGGTTTGTCAATAGCTTGACGAACCGGGGAGAGTGTTCGTGTGTCTGGATACGAGCATGGTAGATCTGCTAGCAGCACGGGGGGGTACGTAGACAGGAGCATGCGTATGCCTGAAAAAGGCTACTATGTGTGGGACCCCTTCCCCGAATTCGGGAGGGCCACTACTTCACTTCCTTTCCTCGCTCCCGCGGGTGCCTAATCAGAGAGAGTTAAGCGTGTCTTCTCCTCCCAAGTACGAACATACCAACAAAACTCATCGGATACGTCGACGACCTCCAAGCACATCTTCCACCAGGTTTGGCTAGGAACATGCAGGCCATATCCACTGTAACGAATTGGATTCAGGAACGTCTCTCCCAAAAAGGCATTGAGCTCAGTCTCCCGAAATCCAAAGTGCTATTCCCGGAAGGTCTTTGCATGTTCTCTTTGACAAACGACGAACAGCAACAGTTTNCTAGGAACATGCAGGCCATATCCACTGTAACGAATTGGATTCAGGAACGCTTCTCCCAATAAGGGATTGAGCTCAGTCTCCCGATCTCCAAAGTGCTTTTCCCGGAAGGTCTTTGCATGTTCTCTTTGACAAACGACGAACAGCAACAGTTTACGAAAATTGGTCTGTCAGTTGCTGAAGGTGGCATGCCAGTAGTCGGGATCCCAGTAGGGACAGAAGAGTTCCAGAGGAATTTCATTTCCAAATTTGGCCGTGGTGACTCGGCGGAATTGATACTCCGCTTAGTAACGCTTGACGACCCTCAAGCCAGCTATCAACTACTACTACGTTTATCTGGTATGCCACGTTTGTTTCATCTGCTGAGGACGATTGCACCGTTTATCACCAACTCTGCCGCTAGAAAACATGACAACATGATGNGTACGCGCAGACCCGACGAAGAGCGAGGAGGTAGATTTCTTCAAAGGGACAGCTCGGGCACAGGTGCACCTACCCATGCGTGAAGGAGGACTAGGAATCACGAGCAATGTTCTCATTCGAGAATCGGCTATTGTGGCAGGGCAAGCGCTGGTGTTCTCCAAGTCAGTGCAAGCATCGACAGGATACACAGTTGAGCAATGTCTACCCCGGCTTGCCCTGTTAGGATAATCCGAACTGTGGGTAGTTTGTCGCAAGACGTGTGTTGAATAGGGTATCGGCAACTCGGCGAGCTTGCGCCGACGAGAAAAACTTGTTGTGATTATTAGTTGCATCCACATATGATTATGGTCCGTGCACAACAATTTGTCCAATTTTTTTCCAGCGCCCGGGTACACTTTTTCTCTGCACACAGGTGGTCGTTCGGACATCCGAAAGTACCGGCAAACGCCCTGTTTCCAGGCGCATCTCTCTACGGAGAGATTTCCTGTTTTTTTTTATTCCTTGACATTTTATCTTCGAAAAACGGTGACATTTTGTATCGTTTCCGCTGGGTCGTGTTTTTATCCGATATCACATATATATCTCAACGGATTTGAGTATATCTCGGAACTCCCGACATTTTTTTTTTGAAAGTACTAATTTTTGACGAAGACATCGACGAAAAACTGGATTTTGGAGGCCAAGTTGTATCGTTTTTTACTACAAAACTGTCCATACGACTTCAAAATAAACAGCGGCAATCGATTCCTCTGGTCAATCCCCAGATGGGTTATTTTCTTTTTTTCAAGAAAAACGAAATTTCACGAGATATGGCCATCATTAACAACATATTCGCCTGATTGAGAGCGTAGCATCTGATTGAGAGCGAGATTGCGCGATACGCTGTAGCCGGTCTATTACTGAGAGGTGGAGCTTGCTGTGTAGCTTGAATTGAAGGGCTAGCCCGTAGCTTCAAGCCGCTACCCTGGTCATCCTGTGGGAGTCTCTCGTTGTGGAGCTACAGCGGGGAGCAGAAGCTACAGCAGACAGAGCCCACCGCCCGACGCGATACCGCCCTGAAACAGTTTGAGCAGAAATAGCCAATCTGGGCAAATCTAGCAACTTGTCTAGCTCCTCGCTGCAGCATCCGATGACGATGACACGCATATGCTCGCGAAGCTGCTGATGAGACCTTCAATTTGCACCGCTTCTTGGAATAGCCCGTCCCCTACTTGCCAAGAAATGGCAAGAGGCGTCTGGACCCGAAATTTCAATTTTTTTGGCTCTCGCTCTCAATCAGATACTTCGCTCTCAATCAGGCGAATATGTTGTTCATTGTTGTTGGCCCGCCATGGGAGAAAAAATCGCCAGCAGCAGCCGCTGTGCACACACAGCCACAAACACCCACACGCGGACACACACAGGCCCATGCCACGGGCGAAGAAGAGGAAGCTCGGCCGTGGGTCGCATGGGCGGATAGTTTCGAATGCCCCGGCACAGCAGCATGATTCTCCGGCGTCTGCCGCCGATGTGCCTTCCGTTGGGGACGCACCCGACGACAGCAACGCTTGTGGCGGCAGCGCTAATTCTATGGATGAAGATGAGGAAGGGGCTGCGGCAAACGACGAAGACTGGTGCGATGAGGAACCCAGCAGGACACACAGCAGTGGTGGGGGTCAGTCGATACTGAGGTTCGCAGGGCGTGCTGTGGTATCCGCAGCTCGCTCGGCAGCAAACGCGGCGAGAAAAACAAAACCCGCCGTGTTTTCTCGCTCACGAAGCCAGCAATCCCGCCGCCGAAAAGCAGCTTTGGGGCGCCAAGTCGTGGGCTTGGCCAACACTATGGGGATGTTTCTGGATAGTGCGCGACGGCAGCAGATTATTGTTCTTCGTTGTTTTTCTGGCCCTTCCATGGAGTTGACTGTATCTGGCCAGTATTTTTCTGACCCTTAACGCAGAGTGTTGCATGTGTATTTTTTCCGGAGAAGTTCGTACTTGTTCCCGTGTGGTGGTGTAGACACAGCAAACACCCGTCAGCAGCAGCTGCAGTAGAGATGTTTGTTTGCAGAAATTTATTGGCGTGTAGGTGGTCTCTGTAACATTTATACAGTAGTGGGTAGTGGTGTTCAGGGGGGCCCGTGATGTCATGAGAGGGTACGGGGGGTACATAAGGGGGCACCGTGGATCATTTTTTCCGAACATGTTGCATTTTCACCAAATTCAAACACTCCTCGGATATCGACGTAATAACTCGATGAGGCCGTCACGACCGACGTTGTGTCACGTTCCAATTCTTTTTTTTTTTCACCCAAAACTGAATTGGACAAATTGTTGTGCACGGACCATACACACACACAAGCCCCGTTGAAGGGGCGACGCCGTATACAACAGGGGTACCTTGTACATCCCTGGAATCCATTCTACGTACCACACATGTCACCCGGTATTCCGCTCTACCTCATTCCATCGGAACATCCAGCACCAACCACTTGGCATTGCTACAAGTATATCTATCAGCCCCCCTGCTTGTGACTATGCCATGTCTTCATGTATTCAGTAACTCCAAAACACAAGAAAATAATCTAAAACAAAACTCAAACCTGCAACAATAGCCTTCTGGGCTAGAAATATATTTCCATCCCCGATCATTCCAGTTGTAGTTCTTCGAGAATCATAGCGACCCAAGTGCCCCCCATCCTAGAGCACCATTCATTGAGAAGACCATAGGGAAAAATGTAAAACAATGCCACCCTAGTTCTTTGATCAAACACAAGTAAATCCAAATCTACCGTTCCTGTCCCACACTCATCGCGAAATTACGATGAAACTCAAAATTTCCGACGTGAAATGCCTTCGTGAGGAAGCCAGCATGTTGATACGCTGATTCCACGTGAAAAATCGAAATCCCCTTCCTGCCTACCAGTTCCCTGATAAAGTGGTGCCTTACGTCGATGTGCTTCGAGTTACTGTTGCTAATCGGGTTCTGCGCCAACTGAATAGCCCCCTGGTTATCCTCGAACACCGGAATACACGGCATACCTGCTTCTGGCAACATGAAACGCCATACCTTCCTCAGAAACAACACTTCCTTCTTCATCACATCCGCAAGGGAGACATACTCAGCCTCTGTCGTGCTCAACGTAACGCACTTCTGCGTCCTTGACAACCAAGAAATACATCCCCCCCCCCACATTACCAAGCCTTCTGACACAGACCTCCTATCGGCAGCCTTCCTTGCATAGTCTGCGTCTGCGAACACCTCCATGCTCAACCCCGCTACACTACCCCTCCTGAATGTAATCCCCAAGTCACTAGTCCTTACCACATACCCCAAAATACTAAGACCTGCTCTCCAATGAAGTTCTTTGGGAGAAGCACAGTACCGTGCTACCGCTCTTACTGCATTCATTCGCGATATCTGGCCTCGTTTGCGTTGCCAGCCACATCAGTGATCATATCAGCTCGCGAAAAGGCCATGATACCACTTCCTCATCCTGGTCAAACTCTGAAAGCTTCAATTCTACAGGAAGAGGAATTTGCTTCCCGTACTCTATCCCAAACTCCATCCCCAACTCTTCAGCGAACGTCTGTTACGAGATCTTCAAAGCCCTGCATCCCAATCCCTCTCATAAAAACATCCAGAGTACCACCTCAAGTCACCACGATTCTTCCCCGGTACCATGGTGTTGAGGTCCCTACCAAATTGGTCACACCTCTCCTCCTCTCCAATCGAAAATATATCATCCACATGTACTACCAGAGTCACTACCACTCTTCCCTCCTCGATCAATCGAAACACACACGTATCCGCCAGACACTGAATAAAAACCCAAACAAATCAAACACCTCGCCAAGTGTGAATGCCATTGCTTTGATGCCTGCTTAAGGCCATACAGACTCTTGTTCAACTTCACTTTCTTTCATGCCTGACAATCTACCACATCCCTCTGGCAGACGCATGAAAACATCCTCATCCAAATCCGACTGGACAAATGCTTGCATGATGTCGAAATGACGAAGAGAAAGGTTGTGCTCACATGCCATCGCTGCCAACAAGCGAACGCTAGAAACCGCTACAGTCGGTGCAGACGTCTCTCCACAATCTACATGTACTCGCTGCATATCTCCTCTCGCTACTAGCCGTGATTTCACACTAGTCGGCCATCCATATTCATCAGACTTCCAGTTAAACACCCACTTGGCCTTGATGACACTCTCTGGTTGCTACATTACTTCCTCAAAGGTACCAGCCTCCATCAGACCTCTGAACTCCCTATCTACCGAGTCTACCCACAAGTCAGCATACTCAGAGGACACAGCCTCCCTATAAGTGTTGGGTACGCGCAAGTCGTTGGCATAGCAATGTGGCAAGTCCGGTGCCACTTCCGGGGGATTTAAATCTCTCATCGTTCGATCAATGTCCTCGCGGGAGGTAAGCAAGGTGGCGCACGCAAATGGGACTTCTTCACGCAGTCCTTCTTTGTGCCCCCCCGCTCTCGCCCCCCCGGCTCCGCTCCTTCACGTTCTCCGGCTGAACTCGGGATCTCCTTTCTCCCCCTATCGACGAGGCTGCGAGTGGTGAGAGTCGACAGGAGCGTTGCCTTGTCCTGCAGGGATACAAGCCCGAAGCGGTGGGCGGGAGCGTCGCCGCTCCCGCCAGGTGACGTCGACCGCTTGGCCCCCCCATCCTGGAAACGCACCCCCCGACCCCTCAATTTCCCTGGCACCCGCGTCTTTCGTCCCAAGTCCAGCTCTCGATTGGCCCTGCCAGAGAGGGGCGGCATTGACGACGCGCGCCCCCGCCCCCTGGTCCTTAGCGGCTGCCCTCGTGCGCCCAGAAACCCTCATGTCCCCGCGCGCCACGTCCAGTTCACGGATGGTCCTCGTAGTGAGCGGCGGCATGTTGGTCGATGGCGCGGCACCGGGCGGCGCGACGGCGGGAGGCGGTGGCACGACAGCGAACGGCGTTGCAGGCGGCGCGGTGGTGATGTACGGTGGCGCGGTG